TGCTTTTTTTTTCTGCATCCAAAACGCACAAGTAGGTTATATAGCTGTCAATGTCATAGTTCAATTCAGCGCTTGCAGTTCCAGTGCGTTCCGGTTACAGAAAAAAAAAAACAGGCTGCATTTCTCCTGCTGACAGTGTACTCTACAGCGCTCCAGGAATCAATTGCCAAAGGAAGGCCAGGGGAACCAGGGCAAAAGGTGGCCTATGGATAACGCTTTGGGGCTGCAGCCCTCCTCAGATAGGGAAATCAACAACTGGAGAAAGAGCAAACAGGTGATCATTAGCTCTGAGGAAAGGGATTCGTCCCCGAAACGCGTCAGTGAGAGGACCACACTGACAGTCGGAACACCCTGCCCTCTGTTGTGGCCATCTCCATTATCATACAAAGCTACGTCTGGGAGTATGTTTTCGTCTTTCTGACTTTTCAATAAACCTTGGATAATGCACTAGGCGTTTGCGCCTCCTGTTTGCTCTTTTTGCATTTCTCCTGCACAGAACTGTACTGGAATGCAGTAAAATGCATAAACAATGCACTGGAACGCACTTGTCCCTGTTTAACCGCCTCCCGCCATATAAGGAAATGATGGACAGATGGCGGTTCTCTCGTTCTGGGAGGACGTCCTATGACATACTCTAAGGCTACGTTCACACTAGCGTTGTGTGCAGCCAGCAGAAAGGCGTTTGGGAAGCGTTTTTACCACTTCCCAAACGCCTCGGACAGTTCTTCACATTGCAGCACATGGTGCTGTTCTAACGGGAGCGGTCGCGGCGCAGCAAAACGGACACCTCTGGTCGAGTCAGGAGGCATTGAAGCCTCCTATTCTAGTCTATGGTGCTGCTCCGTGGTTGCGACGCGGTTACGGGGTGTTTGCAGAGCGGTAACACCATTCAAACTTCATTATAGGCGTTTGTGGGGCGTTTTTAACGCTTAGCAACTGCTGCTAAACTGCAAATGCAGCATTTGCGGAGCGTTAAAAAACGCTCCGCAAACGCCGGACCAACGCTTGCCAAACGCTAAAGGGGCATTTGGCAAGCGTTGGTAAAACAGTCAAGTGTGAACGAGCCCTAACTCTCCTAGATTGTAAGCTCCAAGGAGCAGGGCCCTCGAACCCCTCGTGTATTCATTGTATTGTTCTGTCGCATGTTCTGTCTCCCATTGTAATGTACAGCGCTGAGCGAACTGTTGGCGCTTTATAAATACTGTATAATAATAATAATAACCGCCCATATGCGGCTCCGGGGGCGCTCAGCGCGGCAATCGGTGGTGCGCTGTGTTCCTCGGACACAGCGGATCACCGTTCAACGGAAAGAGCCAAAGACGTCAGCTCGGTCATGTGATCAGCTGTGTCCAATCACAGCTGATCACATGTAAATAAGGAAATGCTGGTTATCGTCACAAGCTGTCACGCTGACAGGAGACAATATATATGTTGCATCCTCACTGCCTGATTTAAATCTATAATTGCACACAATTGCGGCACAGTAGTCTGGCAAATATCGGTGTCCGGTGATCTTTGACTCCTCCCATGTTTAGGTAGATCTCCGCCTCTCTGAGGTTGCCTACCCCAGGTCTCAGGTAATAAGCTGGCTCTTTAGTGCACTGCAGTGTAGAGATGTGAGAAGCGAATGTGCTTTGTGGTGCAAAAATGGTGCAAATCTTTGTGTGTTGAGTCTCTAACAACACATTTTAAATGAGAAGTTTAGGGGTTTTTCTTGTGAAGTCGTAGTTGGCCCTGCATCTGTCCCCCGCCGATTCTAAGTGAGTGTGACAACTGAATTCTCACCGCCGCTGTCTGCTCTGACACCCCCCCCCCCCCCCCCCCGTCCCCGTCCCCCGTCCCCGTGCTCACTGGAACGCTGGGCTGTGGGGTGGGGAGGGAAATGCTGGCTCAGGCCGCTGAGAAGGATGCACAAGGTGCCGCTCCAGACTCTGGGGTGGATCCCGACTTTAAAACCTGGACCAGCTGAGTGATGTCAGCCAACAGTGGGCTTCAGTCTGCTGAAAACGGGTCACAGGAATGAGAACAAACTGTACTGTGATCCATAGAAGTACAGCCAAAAGACCTTTGGCTGTTCTTCTCCTTTAAGTGAATAGCCGGCCTGAAAGCGGAGCTCCACCCAAAAGGGGAAGTTCCGCTTTAAGGGCTGCTCCCCATTAAGGATTGGCACCTTTGGGGGGTGGGTACCCAAATTTGACAGGTACCCGCTCCCTCCCTACCTGTAGCCTTTTGGTGCACGTGACAGGTCCCAGAAGACTACAGGACCATTCATGAAGTGCAGCGCTACTCGCACATGCGCAGTGGGTACCCGGCTGTGAAGCCGCAAGCTATCACAGCCAGGGGCCCACACTGAAGATGCCGGCACCTGGAATACAGGATGGCCGGTGAAACAGGCTGCGGGGAACATACCACGGGGCCAAGGGACAGGTAAGTGGCTGTTTTTTAAAAGTCAGCAGCTACAGTTTTTGTAGCTGCTGACTTTTATTTTTTGACAGGATGAGTGGAACTCTGCTTTAAGGCCAAGTTCACATTATTGTGGGTGGTTTGGGGTACTGGAATCCCACTGCTCCTGTACCCACAACAAACCACAGCCAAAACATTCTCTTTAAAAATGTGCGGGGCTGAGATTAATTCTTAATGACACCCCCACACATCTAAAAACGCAGGGCATTTGAGGGTGCGGGAACTGCCTGGAAACCGCATGGTACAAAAGCACCATGTGATTTCCTTGCCGCTGTGTTTCAAAAATGGTGCAGCAACCTTTTTCCTGCATGAAACGCAGACACAATGCACAGACGCAATAGTGTGAACCAGGACTAACACAAGTGAAGAGAAAAAAAAATGCATGCCTGGGTCTGAAGGGTCCTGAAACTACCCAAAGATTGGTGGTGGGATCGCACTGCTGGTGCCCCAGCAGCCGTATAAGAAGCCTGAAGCTTATCCTTTGTTAACCCCTAGATGCCAAACGCGAGCAAATATGCGGCCTCTCAGTGTCTAGGTCTTGACGCCGAGCGGCCACATATTTGCGTACCATTTGAAAATACATATATGCTGAGAGTGCACGCCCTGCGCGCTCCAGTACATATGTCGGTGTCTCACGGAAAGGTCCCGATCTCCCTTTGCGATTGAGACCTTTTCTGATCATGTGACCACCTTGACAGCAAATCACGGCGGTCACATGACCCTAAGACCCCGCCCCGCCTCCCGGCTTCTGAAACTCTTAAAGAGCTGGGATGTGCCGGCAAAAGGGGTTAAAGGATAATTTCACCTTTTGGGAACATGTTACATGTTCCACCTGTTTTTAGGGTGGAACATGTTCTCATAGCAGCAGCTGCACCCGCCTTCCCCTCTCCCTGTGATAGATAATGCAGAGAGAAGTTTCCCCATAATATCTGTCAGATTTGAAAACAGTGTGGGGCTCCGCCCAAACAGCTGCGTCATTCATTCACGGACGTCTGCCGCACAGTGGCTAAATGGTTAGCACTTCCGCCTGGCAGTACTTGGGTCATTGGTTCAAATCCCAACCATGGCACCACCTGCCTGGAGTTTGCATGTTCTCCCTGTACCTGCGTGGGTTTCCTCCGGGTACTCCAGTTTCCTCCCACACTCTAAAGACATGCTGGTAGGTTAATTGACTCCTGTCTAAATTGTCCCTAGTATGTGTATGTATGAATGTGAGTTAGGGACCTTAGATTGTACACCCCTTGAGGGTTAGGGACTGATGTGAATGTACAATATATATGTAAAGTGCTGCATACATTGACGGCGCTATATAAGTACCTGAAATAAATAATGAACTGCAAATCCCAGCAGCTTAGCGGCTATCAGCTTGTAGTTTTCAATGAACTACCATGGCTCTGTGGTGCACTGTGGGAGTTCATTCACACTTCCTGGCAGAATATCTGCTTGCTCATACATCCCATACGGCAAGCAGATATTCTGACAGGTCTGCAGGAGACCTGCATGCAGAGGCGTCCCTAGGGTTGGTGTCACCCGGTGCTCCGATGATCCCCGCAGAATGGATCGGATCTGTGGATTGAGCACAATGGATCGGAGTCCGATCCTATATGCTCCCCAATCCGCAGATCCAATCCATCCTGCGGGGATAGTCGGCATGCAACCTATACGGGGTGACACCGGACCCGCTCCACGAAAAGGTAAGTTGTAAAGAAAGCTGTCCATCCCCGTCCATCCCCACCTTTTCGTGGAACGGGTCCGGTGTCACCCCATGCGGGCCGCACCTGCCTCGGGACGCCACTGCCTGCATGGCGTATGGCGTCAGTGATCTACTGATCGCTGGTGCAATGCTTTCCAGGCTCTTTTGGACAAATATAATAAATGCACATTGTTTTTACCTGCAAAAAAATGTATTATTTTTGTCCAAAAGGTGACCTAATCCTTCAAGCTGCAGCTGAAACATGAGTTACGGGTAGAACCAGCCTTTGGGAGGTCCTGAGAATTAACGGCCTATTTGTAAAGTTTCCTAAGAACTGCCTGTGTGGTCCTGCAGCCACCAATCAGATAAAAGCCCGTACTGGAAAAATGATTCGTAGACAAAGAGTTTGAATCCCATTGGTGTCTTCGGTGGAAATAAAGACAGTTAGGACTTGCTGATAAATCAGGCCTGAGTATGGAATGTTGTCACTTTATTATGCTGTATAGAACATGTTCTCTTTAGACTGTCTTTTTTTTTTTCTATGCATTTGCTTAGTGGCCTATACCTCGCAGTGCTCTGGCACCCTGTTTCTTCTACAAACACCTAATTCTGCTGTTAGAATTTCCAGCTCCATCTCCCTCTGCTCATCCTCCTCCATATATATAGACCCAGGTGCTCCTGCCTTTTCCTCCCGCTCACTGCACATCGCTCTGCGACTCTCTGGAGACACTCCGCCACTCATTACTAACCCTTTCTCATCATTCTCTCCAACTCCTTTCCTCCCATCACTCTCTATATAACACGGCTCCCCTGACAGTTGTCCTCTTGGCTGTCCCCATCCCAGAACAGGGTGAATTTTGTGGACGACAGCTTCCCCCCAGGGCCTCGCTCCGTCGGCTTTCCGGAGTCTGACAGCGTCCAGCAGCGGGTAAAGCAATGGCTAAGACCACAAGAGATCAGCTGCACCCTCAAAGACCGCGGGGTGAAGTGGACTGTCTTTCGCACGCCACGACCTTCTGACATACTGCAAGGGCTGCTGGGAAACTGCTGGTGAGTGCAAATATACTGGATGTAAATTTAAAGGGGCACTCTAGTCAAGCCTAAAGTGTCCATAACTCCTGCAATGTAGAAATGTGCTGCAGACCTCCTGCACTTACTACATTTTCTGCATGGTTTTCTTTCTGAGGCTTCCATGTGTTAAATATGACTCCACACCAGTGACTGCTTTAGGGTGGCTCCGTTCCCTTGCAGGGTCCTATGGAGCCACCTCTGCATGCGGATTTCTGGGATGGCAGCCAAATGTCCCTACTTTGTGTGTACATAGAGATAGCTGAGAAGCTGACATCAACAAGCCACTCTCCTGCTGATCTTTCCACCTAGCAAGCTGATTGCAGTAGCCTGCGCTGTCCAAGTGGCTTGTTCCCTGTGATGTGCTCAGGCCCGGCTTCCCTACCTGGAAGTTTGAAGAAGAGGTGCCGAGTGTTTTGGATCCAGCAGTATTGAGCAGTACAGACATTAAGGGGTGAATGTATAAAAAGGGGGGCAAAATCAAAAGTTATGAGGCTGTTTTCTCTGCAGGTGGAATGTAATTCCTATACAATTGAGTGAATCATGAAAGTACCACATTATGGCCACTAGGTAAAGCTGTGCATCATATAACAGGCATCACATAATTTATATTACTATGATCATCCGTTCCGTAGTGGCCATAATGTTTATATGTGTGTGTTTATATGTATGTGTATATATGTGTGTGTTTATATGTATGTGTATATGTGTGTGTGTGTTTATATGTATGTGTATATGTGTGTGTGTGTGTTTATATGTATGTGTATATACAGTTGCAAGAAAAAGTATGTGAACCCCTTGGGATTACGTGGCGTTTTGCATGAATTGGGCATAAAATGTGCTCTGAACGTCATCTAAGTCACAACAATAGAAGAACACAGTCTGCTGAACATAATACTACACAAACATTAGATGTTGCCATGGTTTAATTGCACATAACATGTAAACATTCACAGTGCAGGGAGGAAAAAGTATGTGAACCTTTGGACTTAATAACTGGTTGACCCTCCTTTGGCAGCAATAACCTCAACCAAACGTTTCCTGTAGTTGCAGATCAGACGTGCACAACGATCTGGAGTCATTTTGGACCACTCCTCTTCACAAAACTGTTTCAGTGTAGCAATATTCTTGGGATGTCTGGTGTGAATCGCTCTCTTAAGGTCATGCCACGGCATTTCAATCGGGTTGAGGTCAGGACTCTGACTGGGCCACTCCAGAAGGCGTATTCTGTGCTGTTGCAGCCATTGTTTTTGTTGAATTACTTGTATGCTTTGGGTCATTGTCCTGTTGCATCACCCATCCTCTGCGGAGCTTCAGTTGGCGGACAGATGGTCGTACGTTTTTTTTGCAAAATGTCTTGATAAACTCTGGAATTAATTTTCCCATCAATGACAACAATCCATCCAGGCCATGAGGCAGCAAAGCAGCCCCAAACCATGATGCTCCCTCCGCCATGTTTTACAGTGGGGATGAGGTTTTGATGTTGGTGTGCTGTGCCTTTTTTTCTCCACACATAGTGTTGTGTGTTCTTCCCAAACAACTCAATCTTGGTTTCATCTGTCCACAGTATATTTTGCCAGTAGTGCTGTGGAACATCCAGGTGCTCTTTTGCAAACTTCAAACGTGCTGCAATCTTCTTTTTGGACAGCAATGGCTTCCTCCGTGGTGTCCTCCCATGTACTCCATTCTTGTTTAATGTTTTCCTTATTGTAGATGTGTCAACAAAAATGTTAGCATGTGCCAGAGATTTCTGTAGGTCTTTAGCTGACACTCTGGGATTCTTCTTTACCTCATGCAGCATTCTGCGCTGTGCTCTTGCAGCCATTTTTACAGGACGACCACGCCTAGGGAGAGTAGCAACAGTGCTAAACTTTCTCCATTTGTAGACAGTCTGTCTTACCGTGGACACATGAACATCAAGACTTTTGGAGATACTTTTGTAACCCTTTCCAGCTTCATGCAAGTCAACAATTCTTGATCGTAGGTCTTCTGAGAGCTCTTTTCTGCGAGGCATGGTTCACATCAGACAGTGCTTCTTGAAACCAGTAAATCTAAAACAGGTGTGTGTTTTTTTTTTTTTTTTTTGGACAGCTGTCAGCAACACATCCAATATCATCACACTGATTGGAGTCAAGATTGGCTCACTCCTGGCTCCAATTAGCTCTGGGAGAAGTCATTAAGCTAGGGCCTCACATACTTTTTTCCTCCCTGCACTGTGAATGTTTACATGTTATGTGCAATTAAACCATAGCAACATTCTAATGTTTGTGTAGTATTATGTTCAGCAGACTGTGTTCTTCTATTGTTGTGACTTAGATGATGTTCAGAGCACATTTTATGCCCAATTCATGCAAAACTCCACGTAATCCCAAGGGGTTCACATACTTTTTCTTGCAACTGTATGTGTGTGTGTTTTTTATGTATGTGTATATATGTGTGTGTTTATATGTATGTGTGTGTGTGTGTTTATATGTATGTGTATATGTGTGTGTGTGTGTGTTTTATATGTATGTGTGTGTTTATATGTATGTGTATATATGTGTGTGTGTTTATATGTATGTGTATATATGTATGTGTATATATGTGTGTGTTTTTTTATGTATGTGTGTGTGTGTGTGTGTTTATATGTATGTGTATATATGTGTGTGTTTTATATGTATGTGTATATATGTGTGTGTGTGTGTGTGTGTTTTATGTATGTGTATATGTGTGTGTGTTTATATGTATGTATGTGTGTGTGTGTGTTATGTGTGTGTGTGTTTTTGTGTGTGTGTGTTTTATGTATGTGTATATATGTGTGTGTTTTATATGTATGTGTGTGTGTATATGTGTGTGTGTGTTTTTATATGTATGTGTATATATGTGTGTGTTTATATGTGTGTGTGTGTTTTATATGTATGTGTATATATGTGTGTGTTTTTATGTATGTGTATATATGTGTGTGTTTATATGTATGTATGTGTGTGTGTGTGTGTGTGTGTGTGTTTTATGTATATGTGTGTGTGTTTTTTTTTGTATGTTTGTGTATATATGTGTGTGTTTTTATGTATGTGTTTTTTTTTTTATGTATGTGTTTTTATTTTTTTTTGTTTTTTGTTTTTATGTATGTGTTTATATTTGTGTGTGTTTATATGTATGTGTATATATGTGTGTGTTTGTGTGTGTGTGTGTGTGTGTGTGTGTGTGTTTTTTTTGTATGTGTATATGTGTGTGTTTTTTATGTATGTGTATATATGTGTGTGTTTATATTTATGTGTATTTTATGTGTGTGTGTGTTTTTTTTATATGTGTGTGTTTTATATGTATGTGTATATATGTTTTGTGTTTTTTTTTATGTGTATATGTGTGTGTGTGTGTGTGTGTGTGTGTTTTTTTTGTGTGTGTGTTTTATATGTATGTGTATATATGTGTGTGTGTGTGTTTTTATATGTATGTGTATTTATGTGTGTGTGTTTATATGTATGTGTATATATGTGTGTGTGTTTTTTTATGTGTGTTTTTTGTTTGTGTTTGTATGTGTGTTTTTTTTTTTTTTTTTTTTGTGTATATATGTGTGTGTTTTTATGTATGTGTATTTATTGTGTGTTTTTATGTATGTGTATATGTGTGTGTGTGTGTTTTTTATGTTATTATGTTTTTTTGTGTGTGTGTGTTTTTTTGTATGTGTATTTGTGTGTGTGTGTTTTTTTATATGTATGTGTATATGTGTGTGTGTTTTTTATGTATGTGTATATATGTGTGTGTTTTTATGTGTGTGTGTGTGTGTGTGTGTTTTGTATGTGTGTATATATGTGTGTGTGTGTGTGTGTTTTTTTATGTATGTGTATATATGTGTGTGTGTTTTTATATGTATGTGTATATATGTGTGTGTGTTTTTATGTATGTGTATATATGTGTGTGTGTGTGTGTTTATATGTTTGTGTATATGTGTGTGTGTTTTTATACGTATGTGTATATATGTGTGTGTTTTTTATGTATGTTTTTTGTTTTATATGTGTGTGTGTGTGTGTGTGTGTTTGTTTATATGTATGTGTATATATGTGTGTGTGTGTGTGTGTGTTTTTTATATGTATGTGTATATATGTGTGTGTGTGTGTTTATATGTATGTGTTATATGTATGTGTGTGTGTGTGTGTGTGTGTGTGTGTGTGTGTGTGTGTGTATATATTTTGTGTGTGTTTATATGTATGTGTATATATGTGTGTGTGTGTGTTTATATGTATGTGTATATATTGTGTTTTGTGTGTTTTATATGTATGTGTATATATGTGTGTGTGTCTATATGTGTGTGTCTATATGTATGTGTATATATGTGTGATTTATATGTATGTGTATATCAATGTGTGTGTGTTTTTATGTATGTGTATATATGTGTGTGTGCGTATATGTATGTATGTATGTATATATATATATATATATATATATATATATATATATATATATATATATATATATATATATAAATATATATAAAATGTATGTGTGTATATATAATTTGACTTGGAAAGAAAATGGACTAATAACATTTGATTTTGCCCCCATTCCCATAAAACAAATGTACATGCAGTTTTGCAGGATGAACAGCTCTGCAAATTTTCTATAAATACACCTTTAAAGTAGAGCTATAGGCAAAACTTTTTTTTAAAATTTTGGCTAGAGTAAGGGAGGGACCCGTTATTTTTTCCACCATGTATGTCCCATTGTGGAGATTTGCCATTACTTCCTGTCCTATAGTCAAGCAGGAAGTGAGAGGAAGGAAATCTCCCTGCACAGTAAGGTTATTCCTTGGGCCCCCCAGGTCACCAGAACTAGTGTCCCTATTGGAATATTTCCCCTCGATTACTTTTGTGGAGACAACCCAAA